AATTTAAATGTCAAGAAGCATATGAAATTGTCAGAAGCCTTCAACAGTCAACATTCCACGAAACGAAGGAAGTTAAACGCAATGCAGAAAAAAGCGAAAAAAATTAATGCAGGCTGAAAGGGAAAAAACGACTGGGCTGAATCTCATTATTTTCACATTATATTCCTCTGTGCTTTGTGCGTAAGTTTAATTTCTTTCTTTGTGCAGAATGTTATCATTGTTGATGTTGTTGATATATATTGTTGTTGTGCACGATACGAAAGCTGGGATAAAAGCATGTACTTGATTTTCTATTGCCAAGCATTTGCAAAACACATAACAAATTCAATGCTGTTCAAAGTGGGAAAATGCGCTGGGCTCGATGTACTCGAATGAGCAAAAAAGCCACATCGAATACACTTATAGTTGTTTCGACGCACAATAGGAACAAAATTCGCTATCTCGCAACTTCTCCGTTTATTCCCCAAAGTCTTTTTTTTTTAACTCAATACACGACGTCGTCAAAAGAGGCTTATGTCGTCGTGGTAACGCAGTTGACTTGAGACTCTCTTTTTTCATTCACCCGTCGTTAATTTTTTTTACTATTGCATCGTTGTTGCGCCTCCCCACAAGTTCACAGCTTTGAAAATATAGCACATACAATGAATATATGATGAGATCCGTCTTATATGACGGGGGCTCATAACACTTTCTAACGTCAACTTGAGCGAAAAACATTTGAATAACTTCATTGAGTCAATGCAGCCTCCTTTGACGCTTGATTTTTCAGTCAATGCAAACTTTTGAATTATTGAAAAATATATTATTATAAAATCGGACGGGAAAAACGTTACATATAAGAAACAATTGTTCACATTTGTAATTCACGGAGCATATAAGATTTTCCAGCAGGTCTGGGATTATAACCATATAATTGGAGGAAAGAAAGAAAGAAAGGAAATTCAATTGAAAAAAAAAATCAAATATTCTTCCATTTCGATTGTTTTTGAGTTTTCTCCATAAAGCCCCAGGAATTTCAATGCAGCAATTTAAATCGATTATTCTTCTACTTCAAGTTGAATGAAATTCGAATTGAATCAATGCGTCCATATTTTTACCGCACATTACAAAATGAGAAATGTTCACGATACTGGAACATACTTTACAGTGAAAACGAAACTTTGCTAAAGATAAATCATTCTGAATTTCATTTGCCATTCAAATCCTAACGCTATGTGTTTTCTCCTTTATATATACTCTACGTGTGATATTCAAGAAACAAGTGACAATATATGTATCAATAATCGTACTTTGTTGAGACTTTCTGTTAAAAACATACCAAGGAAAGTGTTTTCTAAAAATGGCAAGGTGAATTGTCATTCAACTGAAATGTGACACGAACTCAACATCTGTAATGCATTCTGATTACCTACGCTTCTGTTGAAAAACGGTTCACGTTGCATTTTCCCGAAGACAGTTTTCCTGATATCATCAACACACAATATATATACTAATTCATGCATAAAAAGATATTATTCTGTCGAAAATAATTTGAACGCGTTATTATGTGCTTAATTCTATTTGTTGAATCAACCGTGTCTCTTCCGCAATTCTTGATAAGATTTTCCGCATAGTTTGCGAGCAAAGACATTATTTACAAAACATTCAAAGGTACTGGCTTACATCACGCAAGTACTGACGAAAATAAAATACTTAATGAACCCAAAATTAATGGCATTTAAGGTAGTCAAGACATTTTCTCATCTCTCTTCTGTTTTATGGCCACTTCGTGAGATTCTACGCAGTATACTACCCTTGCTTAACCGCTATATACTTCTATTTTCCTTTACATACCCAAAAAATGTTATAATAAACTTTAGCTGAGCAAGAAGAAACTTCTTTCACCTTACATTTCATCGATTTGACAGGAAATAAATGAATGGGAAATGTGAATGGAATTTTTTAATTAAATTCTTTTTGATGAAAAGTATGACATTTATCCCATGTTGAACGAATGAACTGTGTTGTCAAACCTCACCATTTTCGAACCAAAATCACTTCTTTTTTTGCAAAAAAAACATTCTCGCCCGAAGAAAAATGTAAAAGAAATTTTGCCAGTGTAAATTGTCAAACTCGCGTTCTGTTGAAATATTTTTCTATTCGTAAATAAGATTTTTTTCGCGAAGAACAATTCACTCCATTATTAATGTTCAATACCTGAAATGGAATTTCACAATGCGCAGCTAAAATGACATTTACTCACATTGTGCTATGTAAATGTCTTCAACTTAATTAAATTCTTCATTTATATTTGGTTATGCTATGCTATGCTTCACAATTCCGCTTGTTTCACTTGTAATTTTTGAGGCGTAAGCGAACTGCCATAAACGAAATGCTTAGACTGGTTTGTCTTCAACGAAGTAAACTAATGTGTAACGAAGTAAACACAATTCTAGCCAAATAACACCTTTATACAGTGAATTTTAGTGGCTCTGTTGAAAGTCAACAACCATTTTCTTTCCTATTTATGTGCACTATTTGTTATTGATTGATAAATATTTTTGTTGACTTCACAAGATTCTAAATATTTTGAATATAATGGCTTTAAAATAACATGGAACAAATCTCAAAAGCTCACAAGCATATACATCTATTGTATATGGTCAAATTCAATTCTTCAGTCTTGTAATTTTTCCTTTGAAACACTGTCAAATTTGTCTATAAAAATATTGATATAGTGTGTGGAGAAAGTGTATGCACATGGAGGTCTGTAAATTTACAGACATTTGTGTATTTCTCCACAGTTGTGTGTATATTCCTCATAAATTGTTGAGAAATATTAGGCGAAATATTTATTGTCGAACCTTTTGCAAGGGTAAACATATTACACAAAATTTTTCTCTCAGTCCGCAAGCGAGTGAAATCGATATTGGATGGAAAAATGTTGAATATAATCGTTTTTCCTTTCTATGTTTTGTACGTCGTTTGTTCGATCGACTTTTATTGATTTTTAATTCATATTCCTAGGTAGAGGGCCGGGCCTGTTATATTTTGAGTGTTGTCAAATGGAATTCATTTGAATGTAGTCCAATATCTTCGGAGACTGAAATCTGTAGGTCTCGTATTGGTGCTGCAATTCGGAAAATGTTTGTCTTTTTAGCACTACATGAAATGTCGAGCTACTAATCTGGTTTTTTTTTTCTTCTAATACTTTTTTGAGCCATGAACAGAGTTGGAGTGGCTTTCAACTTAATATTTTTTTTATATAATTTAAACTAGTGGCAGGAACGACAAATAAGTGCATACTATCTCGAAACGCTAATTAAATCTTTATTATCAAATGTTCTTTAAAATTTACATTAATTTTTCGTATAGTTCTTTTCTGAGTCTTGAACAGAATTAAAGTGACTTTCGATTCTATGCTCATATTATTTATTCAATTTAAACCAGAGGCAGTATGTATCTTTCAAAAAAGAAATTAAACCAAGATCTTGTAATTCATTATTGTGATAACTGAGAAAATCTTTTTTCTCTACCTACTTTGTTGCAAATATATATCATTCATACTATGCTTTTAATCCATAGTGTTATTAAAAGGGACGAATTTTAATGATATATTAATGCAAAGTTACTTCGATGAAAAACATTTCATGTAGTGCGCAAAAAAGTAGTTTGTTGTGGAACAACAAAAAAGAATAAAAAACCAAAATCTCTGTTTCGAGCTTCGAAGTAATTTTATCGCCATTCGTCCAGTATATTTAGATTTGTCGATAAAAATTATATGATCTTCCGACTCAATAAACTAAACTTACCGATACATCGGTCGTCAATATCATTCAAGTTTGCATCATGGCCGTAAAATATTCAATTTGGTTATATCACTGACGCAGTTACTGAAGAAGCAAGCCAAGAATAATTTGCACAAACAATCTGAACTAGAAAACCAACAGCCATGTGAAAAGCATCAATTTTTTCGCTCCTTGTCCACTTGATTCATTGGATACAGCTGGCAAAAAAGAGAAGATTTGAATGTTTGAATATTCTACTAAAACTTCCATTTTACCTGTTTTCGATGGCTCCATGCTGTCGGCTTACCTTGTGCGTGTCCGAAGGTTATAAGAAGTAGAAAAAAACTTTTTATAGTACGTCCAAGTCCATCCCATTTGTATGTGACTTTCTCGTGTTTGTATTTATAATATTTTGTGAGCCCCGGACGGCCATCGTTATTGCAACACATTCTGGTCAAGCACGAGCACAAGGAAAATGGCATTAAACATTTTATTATTGGATTGTGAAGTGACTAGAACATAATGTGTTATACCTATTTGCTAGCCTATTTGTATAGACGATTTACGCAGTATACCGTGGTTTAACTTTTGCTAGATTTTCTCACCACACGTCAATTATTAATCACCCGCGTTTGGTGAATAGAAACTAAATGCAGCTTAGTCGTAGCGTGCTCATGAACAATTTTACCGAATCGACCACGTATCAATTTCTTTTCGTGCTTCGTGACCACTACGAATTGTGAAAAAATATAATGGCAGAAAAAACTGAAATTCTTCATTGAAATAAAAGAAACACATCGATAAATAATAAAACTGCTTGATCATTCATTCTAAATTCATCAAAAGATTGTGAATAGTGTGACGTGCATTTATTCGAGACAATATTTACAAAACAGCGATAGAGTGGCTTGAATGAGTTACATTCATTGTGAAAATAGGAAAGGAGAGGAAGGGAACAGAAGGCTCCGGATTATTTCAATTTAAGACATCTGGCGTCTTAATGTAATATCCCCCGTGTACAGCTGAAATGGTTACGGAACACCAACCTCTTCTGTTTTGTTGAATAACATTTTTTTTCGGTTTTCACAACCCTTCTGAGTTAATTGGATAAATCTCGCGCTTACTGACTATGAAATTGAACACTTTTTACAGAGAAGAAAAAATAATACCATTTTAGAACCGAGTCTCTATGGAACATGTGAATTAACAATAGATTCTACTAACTTTAAATAGGGCGCATCACCACGATGGGAGCCACAGATTGCGACATTGTGCGAAGCCGGTCAACAATATCATCCACAGCATTTATCCGAAGACGGACGCTGGACAACCGACTTAAGCATCAAAACGCCGGCAACCACATGCTTACGCGACAAAATGGATCTCTTGGAACATTGTAAAAAGGTAAGATTGTTTAAATCACTCTAATTCGTTCGAGTATTTGCTTTGGGGCGAATTTTTTTCTTACTTAAAGGTTAATTTAACGGACCTATCAGTTCAAAAGCTCGTTTGTTACTTAATTTTTATTATCAACAATGAAATTAGAAGAAATTTCTAGACGAAAAAGATGTGTAATTATTTTGGAAATTATGTTTCCAACATTTTCTTCTCCAATTCATTACAAATCATACACAGTCGTCTTTAATTCGACTTTGAATTTTCGGGATTCGTTCGAAATTGGAAATATTGTTTGAAATTTATTTGAAGTTTATATAAAGCGATATGAAATGAAGTAACTCGACATAAAATGAATGGAAGAAAATAAACACGAGTAAAACCTATGCCGATGGTATCGCGTGTACGGCATTGAACTTTGTCTGGGCCGAAGTTGTGACAGAATGTTTTCTCCCACACGCAAGCTCCTTACTGCGCAACGACCATCCGCACCTGTTCGAAAGACAGACGAAAAAAAAATCATATGAATAAATCGCAATTTCATGTCATACATTTCTAATAAAGAGAACGAAGGCAGACGGCTTTTGCTAACAGAAAGTATGAATAATAGCCATAATCTCGAAATATTACCACGATGTAAAATACACTGTGAATGGTTATGATCGACTCAATGCGGTGGTGTGCTGAAACTGGGAAAAAAAGTTGTAATAATTTTGGAATTGGTAGAAAAGTTTTTGCTAGAGATTTACATTTTACAATGTTGATTCACCTCATTTCATTTGAACCAGCATCATCATATGCATTGAGCATATTTCATCGCTTATTATTATCTTCTCTTAAGGAATTACCCCATGTGCAACTATCACCTCGATTACATGCAATATCTGGATATGAACTTATTCGGCACAATTCTAGGTTATAAATGGGAAGAAGAAAAAAAAACAAACTGTAGGGAATCAAAACGTTTCAGCATTTGTACACTTGAAATAGGCAACAAGATGCATTTAATTCAAATGGAACGCAAATCAAACTGCAAAACTTTTGAAATGTTACAGAAACTTTCCCAATTATAAAATACTAGATTGAAAGAGCCCACAGCAGGAGGGAACCAAACGAAAAAATATAAAGGCACTTTGATGATGGATAAAAAACGATGTAGAAGAAAAATTCACGATATATTCCACTCATAACTTGGATTTCATTGCACATTTTAACGCAGACGATTCCGAAAATGCTCCCATTGTATTTCAACAAGCTAATAAATTTGTAAATTGTCTATTGATATGCCCACCGACTGCCTGGCTTAATAGTAACGTAAAAATTATGGAAATAACGTAATGTCAGTAATTAATTGAAAGCGTGTGTGTGTATATTTCACCTTTGAACGAATGCAAATTCTTATTGGGTATGGCAGAAGAACTTCTTGTTTGTACTCTATACAAACCAAACCAGGAAATTCCCAGCTACGTGTAATTAATGATATACAAATCCTTTTGAACATGTTTTGACACACAAACTCCACTAATACGAATCAAATCGAATTTGAGTATGTGCATGTGTGGCAAATTATCCACCCGTAATGACTTCATGTCTTCAGAACTACACACACACTCACAAAGTTCGACTGTTTGATTATATTCACATAGTGTAGAACTTTTCATGCTACATGTACCAATGCTATATGTACAATGCTATACTATATTGGAATTCGGTTTTATTGACGGCAAAAGTAAGACTTAAGTTTCGATGCATACGTCAAAGTTCAGTAACTGCATCTCACAAATAAATATAAATACAAGAGATGCTATACCTACCGAAGCACGATTACAACAACTCAAAGATATGAAAACTTTTGTGCATGCGGAAATTTAATTCTGGGGCGTAAACGATGAGGGCAATTGGTATTGATAGAACGAAAATATCTAAAAAGAATGAGAGGCAAACTTAAGTAAGTTTTTCAGATCATGTTCTTTGTGTCTTTACTCGCATCCGTAATGGCAAACCTCGAGATATGAACGCCATTGTATACACTCATGACGAGAGAGAGAGAGAGAGAGAGAGAGAGAGAGAGAGAGAGAGAGAGAGAAAATGTTGTTTCTCTCTTGATCTTGGATTCAACGTTTGCTCTCTTTCGTAACAAAAGAACCAGAAATAATAGGAAAATATGTGGCCAAATTTTTTTAATGGGGCAATGTTTGTTGAATGAATACGAAGAATGAACAACACTTGCAGATTTCTCTTCCATTTAATTAAATGAAAATTACAAAACAATCGACTGTTTGCATGACTGTTTTTTTTTCTGGTAGCGATAGCACAGCCATGATTTCAGTTTCCATTTTGTTCTCGCCATCCTTTTGTTCAACCGTCGTCCGATACAGCGTACATATACGTATGTATGCCTTTAGTGATTCTCACTCGTGCTAGAAAAAGGCAAACGTTCCAAATTGCGATGACGCCGTAAAATCGAACAGATTGCGTTTTTGTACTTGTAATTTCGACACTTTTCGTCTGCTTTGTTTTACTCCGCCATTTCAATTTTAATTGGAAATTTTAAAAGCTTTTGCCTGCTCCGTGATAAAAGCAGCATTTTGCCTTTGTTTTCCCGACTGGTTTTATGTGTGCAACGTTCAAACAACCAAAAGAACAATTTTATCGACTTTGGCGTCGACGGCTTATTATCGATGGTTCTGCTAACAATGCAGAATGATGCTCTATTGCTTGGTTGTATTTATTGGTTGCCATTTCATTGATTTCATTTCTCGATTAACTTCAAATCGAATGCATCACTTCGAATTTCTTCCTAATAGATAGTAATTAGTGCATTGGTTGAAGAAATCAAATAAATTATAGAAGTAAAAAATGTAATTCTTATTACTTTATTACCTACTTATTACTATAATAAGATGACCTATTAGTAATAAGTCTATCTTATTACAGTAATAAGATTGTAATAAGATTGTAATTGTAATAAGATTGTAATAAGTATCTTATTACCTTTGGTGCAAAAAAAAATCGCAAAGAAAGTTTCATGTAAAAAACATGTCAATTTTTGCCAGTCAAAAAAATGTTGAAAAAAAATGTGTGAAACATGAAACTTATTACATCCTATTACAATAACAATCTTATTGCTGTAATAAGATGATCTTATTACTTGTTACAATCTTATTACAATCATCTTATTACAATCTTATTACTGTAATAAAATGAAAGTAATAAGTAATAAGTTACTAATTACTTTACTTCTATAAAATAAATAAGATTCTGTGAAAGGTTTTTTTTCAAATGATACATTATGGACTCCATAATATGGAGGCTCATTTGTTTGATTACAACTTCAAAGCAAAAATTAAATAAAAGACGAATTTTATTGATTAAAATGAGGAAATTCTAGTTCCAAATTTTGAATCAGCTCCATTGAGTTGCTTGATTCACTGAAATCGGCATCTCTTTTAATCGGAAAATTATTTAGTCAATATTGTTCTATTTGGGAGTTCTTTAGTCCCAAATGTGGACCGGCTGTCGCACGACAAAATTTATTGGTCTGGAAATTCAAATGGATGCGTTCATTGAATATATTAGATATCATTGAGTTAAATCAGCAAATAGGCTTGACAGCAAACAAGGCTTGCATCACAAGTGCATCACATACAGCTGTCTTCATATTGAACATTGGACATTGGACAAATGTCACACTGGATAATGAAAATTACCGCACACATTTGTTGTTCAAACCAATAATGAATTTGGAGATCACTGAACAAATTACGTCTGGTCTTGACATTTATCACGCCCATTACATACATTACAGCTTAGCTCAGATTTTAGTACATGAATCTCACAAAATTGGTGTGTTCAAAATGTAAAGAGATCAAATTGTTAATTCAAATGACTTAAGGAAATTTCTTGTTATGGAAACAATACAAAATATGCTAACACTTCGAATTTGAAGAAAATAAAATATTTATTCCATAAAATTACATTGAAAAAAATAAATGCTTCACAAATTAAACATTTTGTTGGGTACACAAATACAAATTAATCAAAAAACTGAAATAATCATAGAATTCGAGAATAATTCTGTAGATTAAAAATCACGTGAAAAATCATTAAAATGTCTCATTTTAAGCCATTTCCAAATTAATGCCAGTGTTCATTTCTGACTAAATGACTATTTCGTCTGACTCTGTTTCGAACATTCTATTGGCATACACATTTATTCCGATTTTAATTCGAAATTTCCATTTCGTTGAAGGAAATTTGGAAACTATATATATCGAGGGGTAAATCACTCTAAAGTAATTTGTAATAGAGAAAGTAATCGAGAAAGTAATTTACGTGTAAAAATCTCGATTACTTTTAAATTTTTTAGAACTAATCGAGATTTTTACACGTCAATTACTTTCTCTATTACAATTTACTTTAGAGTGATTTGCCCCTCGATATATGCCTTATTCAAGCGTCTTGAATTATGTAAATCATAAAATAGAACTTTATTTCATTCACTCGTTGAAGATTTTGCCTATTTTTATGACGTCAAAAATGAAACTAATGCCAAAGTAAATAGGCAAAATGTTAAAAGAAAACACGGAAATTCCGTGCACAGCGGATTATGTGCTAACGTTAGTATTTATGTAAATTTTGCATTTAAAATTAGTTGAAATATTGAAATTGGTGTTTTCAATCCACCGCGCACTGTAAAATAACAATGGCAAAAACGGAAGGTTGTTTTAAAATCCATTCAAGAATTTTTCGTTGTGTGCGAATGAACAAATTCTTTAGTTGCTTCTTGCTATTTTATCACTGGTTGAATTCGTTTTGACGCATTTGAAATGCAAAATTTGCAACTAACACGACTTTGGCGTATGATTTCCAGCATTAATTCGATTTTAAAGTGGAAAGCACGGGATATGCATCAGCACATATTCAACCATTGCACCATACCGGTTCCCTTGGCTCGACATACACACACACACTCACACACAAACACGTTGCACTACGAAGCATATTTC